ATGAGTTTCAATGCTTACCTTGCATGCCATATGCCATGATTGCCTCATTCAAATGTCTTAGAAGTAGCCCTTTGAGGCTTGAGCATTTTGTGCCTAAATGTTGGTCAACTTACTTGCATGTGTGTATGTATGTTTGATTCCAATTCCTTGACTTTTGGCCACTATTTTAGGCCTATTAGAGTTGCCTAAATTATGTATAAGTCCTCCTTTCCATTAATTTGCATTGCCTCATGTTTGCTTGTTTGCTTGCATAAGTGTCTTTGCCATGCCATGTTGCATCCTTAGCTTGCATGCCTAGGTTGCATTGCATCTTGCACGCATGCCATATTCCTTGACTTGGTGATAGGAATTAGGCCTTTGATTGTTTGTTTGGTTTGCATTTCATTTGACATGAAAGTTGCACACTTGATTCTTGGGCCGTTGTGCATGAAATGCGTGATTGGCGGTCCGAGAATCGAGACACATGTCCCTTTGAGTCACAAAATGATAGGGGGCATGATTAGTGCATTACACTGCTTGAATTGTATTGCCATGCAAGTTCTGTCCTCTGCTGCTGTGAGTTGCAGATTCTGTGGCATTCTTTGCCGACCAGCAGTGTACATTGCCGACCGGCAGTTATTCTTCTGCCGATAGCTTCATTTTTGCCGGTGACCACATACCACTGCGGTGGCAATTCTATTCAGCCGGTGGTGAACCCCACTATACAGGGAGGCATCCTCGAGGTTTTGGTAGCCTCCAAAGGAGCAGAGCAGGGAACAGAGGTAGACTATGCATGGCGGTGCACTTCCGAGCAAGACCCGAGCACGCGCTGCATCTGGCCCTCCTCCCGAGGCGGTTTACTGTTTTTCTTAGCTTAGTTAATTTGTTAATTAATTAGACAATTTGTAAATATTTAATTAGCTTGTGTAGTTAATTAATTTGTATTATTTATTTGGTCCTCCGAGTGAGGGCAAATCTGTAATAAGTGTGGCTGAGTGTGTGTATGTCTTCCAACCTCACGTTTCTTCTCCTTTTATTTACTTGCTTATGAGGTAGATTAGGGCACGTTTAAATTAGCATACCTCATGTAATGCTTGCGTGCATTCATTCATTTGTTTTACATGCACCGGGCTTGGAACATCACCTAACTGCATTCGTATTTCAAATTCCAAATTGAGTACGTGCATCAATCGACTGCATTTTACTTGCCATATTTAGGTTAGCCGAGGCCTACTCTAATTGCATTTTTGCATGCGTTACATTAGCCACTCTAACATGAACTAGGATCATGCATGTTTGCTAACTAGTTTATTGTTTTGGCCGGTGTACGATGTAAGTATTTATGCTTTAGCATCTCGCATGCGTGTAATGTTGCCATGACAGTATGTTTGCCATGCGGCTAAATGCTTACGTGACATAACTGTTTGAATGCCTTGTGGGTGAAGGTTGAATTGTTGAGTTGGAAAAAACTCGTTGAAATCCGTGTTTTAGCCTACTTGCAAGTAGCAAATTCCAAAGCGCTTTTCAAAACAAACGGATATGCAATGCTTGTTTCCAAATTAGGCAATCTAGGTCTAACTGTTTTGGCTGTGCGCATAACATAGTAATCTAGGGGCTAAACAATTGGGAATAAGAACACATAACGTTCCAAAATCAATATTTCATGGTTAGTGTAGAGGCCGGGGGTCTTCGGACCGGTGCGAAAGGAGGGTGCCTCATAGCTGACCTTCCCCCGATCGTACCCTAGCTCCCGAGCCGAGGATAACTCGGTTGTATGACGGACATGTGGGCCTTCGGCACCGAGTCAGGAGTTCCTAAATTCCCCCATTAAAAAATATTATACGTGGCGACTCCTGTATCTTGGCGCAAAGCAGTCTATGTTTTGGCACTTCTTTCCTAAAATAAATCCTGTTTTCTTTCCAAAACGATTTGCCAGATTTGCGACTTCTTTGCGTTCAAGATTAAGAAACCGCCCGACCACAAATCGGACGAGGTTCCGAACTGTAGTAGCGGGGGCCCCTTCGCGGGACGTGTTACCAGAAATCCCTCGACTATTTTTTGTTGATTTGGATGTGATCCTAAATGTGCTTGTTTCTTATTGGGGATTAGATACTGGAAATGACTATTTTTAACTACAAATTCCATGTTTCGGTTGGATGGATGGATAGGGATAAATGAGTTAAAAGATTTGATTTTACCCTTTTTCAATTATTTACGTAAATAATAGCAATATTAAACATATCCCTTTAATATTTTTAATTATTTTTAGCTAAATTAAATAAAAAAAAATTATTTATTTTTTATTTACACCATTAAATAAAATTTAATTTATTTTTTAAATTAAATAAAATAAAATATCTAATTTAAAAAATATATTGTTATTTTTTAATTAAAAAATTTTAAAAAATTAAAATTTATTTTTAAAATAAATAATAATAATGAGGTAATTATAATATAAAAACAATCTATTTAAAATTTAAATAATGAAATTAAATAAAATTATAAACAGAAATTTTTTTAAAATTAAAAACATCAATAAAAATATCATTAAAAAAATATCTATAAAAATTTATTTTTTTTAAAAAAAGTTAAATAAAATTATTTTATTTTTAAATTGAGACATTTTTAAATTTTTTATTGAATTTTTTTAATAAAATTAAATTACATAGTAAATAGTAGAGGCTGTCAAATAAGGACATTTCACCACCTTAAAATCCAACAAGTAAATAGTTCCATTGAAAATAATCCACACCCCCTTGGGAGATACATAGGGAGTCCCTCATATGACGGTGATATTGGTTCTGGCCAGGCTCCATTGCCCGGCGGTTTGAAAAAAAAAAAAAAATTGAATTGCGATGCTTCCAATGGATTACAATCCGCACTAGTAGTAAATAGTTCACTCCTTATCCCTCCAATCAAACGCACCGTAAGGCCTTTATGTTTGGCTTGGAGGACATTTGGTGTGAGAAGGAAGTTAGGAATGGCAAAACGGGGCGGGCGGATGGCGGAGTGCTGTGGCGGGGCGGGGCGAGCCAGGGGGAGTCACGCTCCCTGTCACCCGTCTCCCTGTCCCCCATCCCCGACGGGAAACCTATCCACCGTGCCCATCCCCGCCCTACCTTAACGCGGGATCGAAGTTTTCCTCGACCGAAAATTCCCCGCCCAAATCTGTTTCAACACATCGACAAAAACTTTCTAACAAATCATCAAGAACATCATCAAAAAAAAATCAATTCAATTAAGAAGACTGCGATGAAAATATAAAATTATCAACAACAAAAATTCTCAATCAACACTATGCATCACAACTTACCAAAAAAAATAAAAAATAAAATAGACAAATAGAGACAGATCGAGTGTGCCATCATCACATCTAACACAACATCTTGAGAATCTGTGTTGTCATCAAACACATATCTGACGTCCGGCGGCCAGAATGGTGAGCTGCGTACGAAGGGACAACAGAGAAGTCCACGACCGGCGTATGGTGACTTACGTCGAACGATTAGGTGACTGCCGCTACGAAGGTAACACGACAATGGCATGCCAAATGGACCGAATAACGCCGCCATGAACGACGGAGGTGACGACGGTGTTCCTGCTGTACAACACGGCGGCTAGAGGACGGCGGAGCGAGACGAACAAAAGCAGCATGGTATTGCTGAAGGGGATGAGAGGTACGAGAAGAGGTAGAAGATGAGAGAAAGATGAGAGGAGAGAGAGAGATAAGAGGCGTGAGGATGAGAACGAGAGAGAGAATAGAGGAAAAGATCCTGAGAGAGTGTGCAGATATGGAAATGAAAGAAAGAGAGAGAGAGAGATTAGAGAAACAATATATAAAAATATATTTTAATATATATATATATATTAACGCCTGGGACAAACTGAGGCGGGATCGGGCCGATGGCCAGAGTTGCGGCATTTATCACCATCCCCGGTCCGAAATTGATCGTAAGGATTAATTTTTAAATATCATCCCCGCCCCGTCGGGGTATTTTTCGCAAGAAAAAACCGTTCAAATCGGGATCAGGTCCCGTGCGGGCGGTTTTCAAATGCCATTCCAAGGAAAGAGAAAAAGAAAGCAATCCCACTCTTTATTTGCGTATAGTGGATAAACAGAAAGGGAAAAGAAAATTAGAGGGAAATGCGATATTTATATTCACTGGGTTATTTTTCTCCATTCCCAATTCGACCAAACATGGCTTGGAATTCAAATCCTATCAATTATTTTTCATTTTTTTAAATTTTTTTTTTCTCTCATCAAATCCTCTAACCAAACACAGTCTAAGAGTTCATAATTAATGGAAACAATCTTGAGAGTTAGAATATGAGACGAATAGAGATGGAAGAAAACTCAAACATGCGGAATCACCATTTTCGCTATATAATTTACTCTCATAAATTATTTCATGTTCGGCGCCGGACAACCTTGTACACAGTGGTCTAGTAGTAGAATAGTACCTATGCCCTGCTATTCTATATTTTTTAGAATAAATGCTTGGGACGCAATCCCTCACCCAACTTTGCCAACGTGGTGGGTGGTGATTGGAGGAGTAAGAAAAAAAAAAAATAGAAAGGAAAGTAACTCAATGAAGCAGAGGAGAGGGCAAGGGGGCGGGGTAATACGCTGGGAAAATATGGGGGGATGAATCATTGTTGTATTTTTATGGGTTACGTTGCTCCTTTGTCAATTCACCTTTAATTTTATTTTATTTTTTTACTTTTTATTTTATAATTTTTTAAATATAATTTTAAAATTAATGTACATTTAAAATTAAACAAAAAATGATACATTAACAAACACATGATATGAAAATATTTTAATATAATTCAACTTTAACACACAATTTAAATTCTTATATTAATAATATATATTTTATATTATATATAATTAATGTGATATTTTGTGTCTAATTTTTAAAAAAAAAACTAACTTCAAAAATAAATTAAGAAAAAATTGAAATATAAAAAGTAAAAATAAGAAAAAAATAAAATTTAATTTAAGGACTAAATAAAAATAGTCAAATAAGAGGAGCAAAGTGTAATTTACCTTTTAATTTGCCATTCATTTTCAATCCCCAAACAATACCCTCATTTGTCCACATTCGATCTCTGTTATCGCAGACGATGAACGCTGTATCCAACGACTCCGCCAACGATTTCATCCAAGGCAAACCATTCGATCCCACAGATTATTGATACTACTATCAAACATTTTTTCAATTCACTTGTTTCTAATTCAGATTTACTCCGTCGATTTCATGTACTTTGTTGGAATCTTGATTTGTGTATATTGTTTTGCAGACAACTCTGAGGGAAGCGATTCCGACACCGACATCAACACCAACACCGACGATTCGCCTCAATTCTATCAGCCAATCTCCGATGTTTCCGATTCAGCGAATTTTGATGGCGATTCAGACGATGATTCTATTTTTCCTCATCTTGCAAACGGTTATGCAAATTCCGTAGAAATTGGAATTTCTTCGATCGATCTCAGCGATGACGAAGATACAAAAAGCAACGAAGAAGATGATGATGAGAGGATGAGAGAAGTTACTGATTCGGCGATACAGAGGGCGGTAAGAGAAGATGAGAGTCGTCGAAATGCTCCGTTGACGGCAGAGACGGCGAGGAGAGTGATGGAGGCGATGCGTGGGGTGTCGTTCAGTGGATTTGCTCCAGATTGGGCGAATCGAGTTCCTGAAGATCAGTGGATCAATCAGATCAGAAGATTGAGGCCACCAGAGACTACAATTCACCAGAATTGAGGAAAAAACGTGAGATGTTCCCCCACTTTTGTTTTTGTTCTCTTCTGTTCGTGGATTTTCTTCATGTTTTTAGTTGGAATAATTAGGTAAGAAATAAAGGAAATTCTATACTGGACCAAAGCTTCAGATCCAAACTCTGAAGATTGTTAGCAAGCATAGGTTTGAATGGGTTATTGATTTTATTTTTTTGATAAAGAGGCGAGGCGAGGCGAGGCAAGGCAAGTATTATTATTTATAATATTATTATATCCTTGTTGACAAAAGAGTTTACAAAACAAGGAGGTTGATGATATATTATAAGGGATCCTTGTTGATCAAAAACAACAACTTTAGCAATAGTTATGCTGGATGGAGACCGTCCAATCACGCCCAAGAAGAGACCTGCAATCGTGAACAAGTGGTTGGATCCAAGTGACCGTCGGTGTTGAGTTTGATAAAAGGGGGGGAAGGTTGTTGCCATTTAATCCAAAGAGTGTGAGTGAGTTTGGGTTGTATAGAAGGGTAGGCGAGGCAGTAGAATTCCATTGTTTGGTGGGTAATCAATTGAAGTTGTTTGCCGATTGGAATATTTAAAGGATTGAAAAAATTATGATTTCTAGCCAACTATAATGCATGTAGGGGGACAAACGAACCATTTTCAACATTATGTGTGCAAGTGGTTCGGTTTGATCAGGATTTGGAAAAAAAAAACAATAATATTGAACTGAATCTTTTAGTTTTTTTAGTTGAGGAATTAAATTAGACCGCATATTTTGATTTTTCGACTCTATTATAAACGATGGATTTATAAGAGATTTGTAAGGGTTTTTAAAAATTTACAAAATCGCGTATCAGGAATACATAAAAAAAAGAGAGATAGACGGGGATACCTCTCCACTAAACCTTTATTTTAAAGAATTAATTTTACGTTTATCCTCTAAATTATTATCATTTTTTTATTTCATTCTTAATCTATTAATTTTTGTCTGTTTAGTCTCTATTTTTAAAAAAAAAAAAAAATTATATTCATTAGGTCCAATTGTAAAAGATTGTATAAATTAGTAACCGCTGAAGCCTAACTTGATAGGTAAAAAGATAATTTTATAATTTCAACAACTTAAATTATGAGGATTGCTATTAGTACCTATCTAGTGTCTTTGGACTTTCTATTTCTTTGAACCCCCGCCCTAAACCCTAACTTAAATAAGATTTCTTTTAACACCTCACTTAATACCAAATTTTTATTCTTATACATAATATCATCACACGCTAAGTACACACACCCACCTAATTTTGCACCCTCTATCCTTTATGGTTGAAGAAGGTCCATCTTCACAACTCTCTCTTTACTGTTGAAGAACATCGACTTTCTCTCTGCTATTGAAGATGGTCCCTCTCTGTCCATTAGTGAACGATGACGGTCCATCAGTGAACGATGGTGTCCAAATCAGTGAAATTATTGCGCCAACTTCTTAGGTAACCTCTAACTCCAATTTTATCAACACTATTGCTTCTCTTCTTCCCATCACATTTTTTTTTGTTTATTTCGGTGTAAAAATAAAAGGAGATTTTAGAGAGAGAAAACCTCACAAAAAACACAAGTGGGGCAAATCTCTACAAAATGGAACCATTCGTCAAACCAGTATAAAAAATAAAGGTCATGTTTAGTTAAACAATGTCAACTAGCTGCATTACTGTTTAGAACCCATGTATTGAACAAAATATTAGTGTTTAGTGTTGTGTTACTGAACATAATCTTAACAGTCGACAAACCAGTAGTGAACAGCTTTAACAAAACAACAACGATTGAAAACGATTGAGAATATTAATGTAAGATAGATAAATTTACCAATGGAACGTTAATATCATCAGAATTGTTGTCATCGTCCGTTGTCACTGTCCTTCATTGCTCTATAAGTATCAATGAATAGTGAAATAACTGATGAAGAGTAATACGTTGGACTAGAAAAGGATACGATTTGATTCAAGGCTTTTGGTTCAAGAGGGTTTATGATAATGATGAAGAGGATACGTTCAGGGTTTGTGACGGTGATGAGCAAGTTCAGAGTAGTAGGTTTAAAGTTTAGGTTGATGGAATATGTTGAGGTGGAGGTGGAGGTGGAGGTGGAGGCGGAGGCGGAGATAGGTGTATAATATTATAGAGTGTCGCTATAATGGTTTTATTTGATATGTGGGTGTTCCATTAAAAGGTGTTCTTTAATGTAATTTTATTTCAGGGTTTAATTGTAATTAAAAAAATAGAAATTGGAGGGTCTAATGACATTAGGTAGGTGCCAATAGCAACCGTCTAGATAATATGATAATGCTTATTAATTTGTATGACCATCTCCAATTGGACAAAATTAACATAAATCAAAAATTTTAGAAACAAAATAGACAAAATTAATAATTTAAGTATAAAATAGTAAAAAAGGAATAAAATGAAATTAATCCTATTCTAAAATATATACCATTGGTGATTTATCTTTTGATACAAAAATAAAAAGAATTAAAATATAATATTACCGTCAGTTCGAGTGAATCAATGTAAATTTTCTGAAAATAACATTATGAAAAACTGGGCCAAAAGTTGATATTATCTCGATAGATTGGCTTCGCATTAATCGCAACACAAAACTTTACAGGCGGGCTTTTTTGGTTCTAAAAACAAACAGAAGGGCTGGTCTAGGCCTAAGAAAGGAGGATCTGGGTTTAACTGGGCCGATTGGGCCCATTTTAACCACAATTCCCAATGCAGTTAGGTTCGAGGTAGGCATATATGGAAAATAAAAAAATAAAAAAAAAAAATTGTTCCACAATTGTATCACACAATTAGCATCAGTTGAAAATTTACAAATATTAGACAATATTGTGTGTATGTTTGGTTTTGGTTTTAGTTTAATAAAATAATTTTGAGTTTTTATTTTATTTTTATTTTGTCTAGTAACTTTTTCATATCAGTCAAATGTTTAAATTTTTTAGATGCGATGCAATTTAAAATATTTGTGAAGAAATATGGAGGAAAAAAATTGCTAACAACAAATAAAATTAAAAACAAAAAAAGATGCAAAAGTCCAAAATTGGATTTCTTTTAACTAAAGGTCTAGGCATTAAACAATAATATTCATAAGGACAAGCTCTGTAAAATGATCAAACTATCTCTCCATATCGTTTGTCCCTCCCATACTTTGATTTTATCTCACTCTCTCATATCTCAGATCTCAATCTCTCTTCTTCCTAGACCTCTCTCTCTCTCTCTCTCTCTCTCTCTCTCTCTCTCTCTCTCATGTCTTTATTTTCCCACGTTGAGCCATTGCTCTGTGAGAGGGAGATTTATGATCTGAGATTGGGTCGTGATGTTAGCCGGACAGATTTGGGCCGAGGTATTGGGCTCCAAGATCAGGCCGTGATATTGCTCGGTAATGGCAAAGCCCACGTGGAACCAAGTTATCTGATCTTGGTTCTGCGAAGGCCGGACAGGTGGAGGAACAGCCTAGATGAGGCTCCCCGGCACACGCGTTGCAAGGTTGTAATACACGCACCTTAACCCGGTAGGAAGGCCTGTGCTTGGAGCTTGGCCGAGAAGGTCTTTGGCTGACCGGCGTAACCAATCTCCAGCTCAGCTTCGCCGGAATACAGTTGAGCACGGCTGGAATTAAGCCCGGTGGTAGGAAACTATGACATCAACTGCACTTGGGCATGTTCAGTATGGCCGTTGATAGCCGAGATAATGTTGCCCGGCTGCCGTGCTCCCAGCAGAGTGGGCTGGCAGTTGGGTTAGGTGATGTATGGCAAGATTTGTGCTAACATATGGGATAACAGAGCCACGTGTCGAGAGACCAATGGGAGTAGATTTGGGGCGCAGAAGGGTATATAAGCATGTCTGCACCCCCCATACGCGATACAGGAACACTTTGTAAGGAAATTCTTACACTCAAACACTCCTCTCTCTTTCTCTCTATCCTAAGGTGTGCGCTAACTTGATCGTCGGAGGGTTTTTCCGGCCACACACCGCCGGGTAGCTCACCGTTATTTGCTCGCAGGTGACCGGATAGAAGCGGAGCTTGGAAGAAAGGAGTGTGGGCTTGCCTGAATATTTGTTCCTCGCATAATTGGCGCCGTTTGTGGGAACCTTGACAGACAAAACCTTGTCTTCCAGGCTCGTCTGATCGCCGTCCATGGCGAACAATGACGAGTTTCCGTTGTCTGCCATAGACGGAGCCACCCCGGAATTCACCCGAAGGAGAGAAGAACCTCCCGCCATCCATCCAATGGCGAACTTGGAGACACCCACCGGAGGACAGTCAGGAGACGCGTGGGATAAGCGCGGAAGAAGTTATGGTCATTCACGAAGTCCAGACGGTCATCGGTAGCAGAGAGAATCACATGCCCGACGTCTGGAACACAAGTTGAGGGACCAAGACGCTGTCATCCGGCGAATGGCGGCGGAGATAGAGGAGCTGAAGCGGCATGTCAAGGGGAAGGGTGTAGATGGAGTGGTAGACCACAGTGAGCGCAACCCATCCCGCCGTTCAGGCAGTCAGAGTCAGCGACACACTCCATCCATTTCCATTACCAAAAGTTACAAGGTTGGTGATTCAGGTGTGCGCGCAGAAAATTCCAGCGCACATGATAGCACCTACCAGCCCTCACGTCCGGTGACGACGTCGAGGTGCTCATATTTCGCTCACTCAGAGGATTTGCGGGCGGTCTTGAAGGAACGAGCTCGCCGGCGGGAGGCTCAAAGGGTGCCGGCGTTTCAACGGCTATCCTATGGGGTTCACGCCAGCGAGGAGGTCGGAATGCCTCCACCCCGCCAAGCAGCGCCACTCTTTGTAGATACGGACTTGGCCAGGCTGAGCGCCACCCTTTTTTCCCTGGAAATAGAAACAACACCGCTTCTGGCAGGCTTCCACCAGGCTAAGTTCACACTCTACGACGGAAAAACTGATCCTTACATGCATGTAAGCCACTTCCGACAGGTTATGGCCGGACATAGGCGAAATGACGGACTTATGTGCCTAATCTTCCCGTCACGTTTAGGCGAGCTGGGCTTGAAGTGGTTCGAGAGGTTGCCGAAAGGGAGCATACAAAGGTGGATCAGTTGACCGAAGCCTTTGTGACGCGCTTCAAAACCAACACAAAAACACCAAAGGAAGTCGATCACTTACTAAGTGTCAAGATGGAACCGAGTGACACACTGAAGGCATACAACTCCAGGTATTGGGAGACCTTCAACGAGATCTTAGATTGCCCGATCAACCTTACAATCACGCAATACAAGCGTGGTCTCCTGGTCGGACATAGACTGCGGGACTCGCTTACCATGTACCAGCCGACGTCCATGGGCCAACTCATGCAACGCATCAATGAGCATATTCGAGTTGAGGATGATGCGTCAGCGTCTACCGCGAAGTCAGTTCCGGCAGCGACAGACAAGAAGGCTGGAAAAGTGCATACAGTCGGACAGGAGTCCGGCCGATCTACTGACCGCACTGAGGAATCGGACCGTGGATCGAATCGGAAAAATCGGGGTAGAGGACGTCAGAATGACCGAGATGACTACCCACGGGATGACGCAGCCGATGCAAATAGGAGATTGAAAGCAAGGACCGGCATCACCA